GTGGTGGTAAGGATGAAACAATAAAGGCAAAGTCTGGGATAGAAAATGCCCGAGAAGGAGAGAGATATAAAGAACATATTGTAAACCACTTATTCAAGTGGATAAAGGGCTGCAGTGTAATGCAGCGAGGTATGGACAAATAGTTGACAGTACGGAATATCATTGTGTAGAAGAAGGGCACTTTCATTAAAGGTCCCATCTGAGAAAGGATCCGAAGAATACAATAAATTATAGCCTGAGATAGGTTGGAAAACAGCCGAGTGTAATTTTGGTTCTGTAAGCAAGCACCAACGGGGAAAACCTGGAAAGCAACATCTGAAGCTCACCCCCATTACCCCTTTAGGACCGCGGATATTCCCACTGTAAATAGGCCATGATTGGCGATTAAGAAAATACCAGGAATTGTAGGTAAAGGCACCTACGGACTAGAGGGGTTAGAAAAGTCAATGTGTGGTGGCATTGGAAGACGTTCAAGTAGCGAAGGAACGGAGCGTTGCGAAGAATGGGGTTGTGAAGATGGAGGAGAGGGAAGAGAAGGAACGGAAGTGAATCAGTGTCCATTGAAGGTTTAGTCTCTGCAATTATTCTGAAATGGCGTCAAGTGTTTCTGAATTCAAAGATGTATGGGAGACCATATTGGAGATAGAAGGAGGGGGGTTAGTAAAGATTGGGACAGTAATGGACTGTACCAAAGCAGAGGGGGGGGGAAGAGTGTAAGGGACTGGAGATGAAGTGTGGAGGGGGACAAAAGAGGCAGAAACTGGGAGGGGGCAGAAGAGGGAGAAACTTGGGAGGGGACGGGGGTGGAAGGCATAGTACGAGGAGGAGGGTGAATCTCCACACTTGTATAGAGCCAGAGAGAGGGGAAGAACTAGGTACAGAGATGGAAGGTAAAGTGGGGGAGGTGGAAGAAGGGAAGGAAGGGGCAAAGAAGATTTGAGAAATGTGGATTTTTTTTGGGCTTCTGAGTAGAGGGGCGATTGGTATTAGGTGTCGTACGAGGTCTTGTTTATACTGGGGCTTGTGAGGAAGGACGCGAAAATGTGAGAACAGACTGAGTTGTAGTCGGGGCGTCAGAGCCAAGGACAGCAAATGGATTAGGTGCCGTAGTGGCTATGGGAGGGGTAACAACAGAGGAGGCTGCAGAAGATGGGACCCCAGAAGTGGGGGGGGTGTTTGGAAACACGAGAATAAGAAACACGGGGTAGTCTCCCTTGGAGGCGGAGATGAGTAACTGCATAGCATAAGGGAGACCTTCTGCCTCTTTGAGGCAATTTGGGTTTCACGTTCATTTAAATAGACCTGACAACGGCGGGAGTACGAAGGGTGACTTCATTTTCAATTAAGGCAAGATGGAGGTTGACTGCAAGATGCATTAGAATGGTCATCGGCACCACAGACTGGGCATCGGCCATGATCTGCAATATTTCGCTGGGTGACCAAAACGCCCCGCAATTTCTACATTGTTTCAGTGTAGGTATCACCTTTCGAAATTGTAACCGATGTCCCGCGACATATACGAGGACGGGAGTTCTCGGTTGTCAAAAGTTAAACGAGCCACATTGCAAGGGTAACGTGTCCGCCCCCCGGGCAGGAAGGACATAAGTGTCTACTTTGAGGATTGGGAGATCCGGGTTCCAGCTGTTCAAAAATGTCATTGCCACATGACTGGAAATTCTGTTGGACCCATGGTATGGGGCAGAATGACAGTACCACTACAAGAATTGAGAGAAAGATGTTTTTTTTAATAGTGATAGGAGTAGTATCGATTTTTCGAAAGGAGAGAAAGATCATGAGCTTGGGTAGCATTCTGGACAGTGACGATGCGCATACCGCTCTTGAGAGCATGAAATGAGATATCTCTACCAACATGACGCAGGAGCGCTTTGCCCTACTATGGTCAGAAAGGTAGGCAGAAGAAGAAGTCGGTCTTTAAAGTAAAGAATTTAGTCCATTGTGTTGTCCGAAACTGGCGTGGTGAGGGAGTGTTGACGTGTCGGTCTTTCCGAGTAGAATGGAAAGGTACGAAGGAGCATCATCAGGAGATTGACGTTGGTGTTTAGGAGTAGGACCGGAGTTGGTCCGGCGTGAAATGGGTGGACGATTCGAAAATTGCCGTACCGTAGAGGGAGAAGCCGGAAGCATAGTCAAAGGAGAGCGGAGTTCAGACAAATCGAAGGAGTCAGTCAAAGCCCGGTACCTGAAGGGGGAGGAAACAGCACCAGCAAGGGTACAGGGGCCCTCAGGAGTGTCCGAAGAGTGGTCTAAACACAAGGGAGGGTCAGAATGGGGTGCGGTATCAAGAAGGGGCCCAGGGGTAGTGGGTTCATGGACTAGGGCTGCCATGGTTAGGTTACTCCTTTGCTTTTTTTTAAGAAAAAAAAAGAAAGAAAAGAAAATAAAAATAAAAAAAAGAATAAAAAAAGGGGGAAGCGGGGAGGAATAGTTTCCCCGGAGGAATGAAAGGGCCCGGAAATCTCCCTCCGCACCCAAGAGGACCTCAGCACCGCTAGTAGCGCAGATGCAGCATGGAACCCGTGCCATACCCTACCCTTCATGCCAGTAAACTAGCAAAACTGGGATAGCAACCTCACAAACTGCCGGCTACCCCGGTGGACAAAAGAGAGGGGGGGCCGGATATCCGCCACAAAGCATACCTTTCCTTCGGCCACCACCCCCGGAATCCGAAAGGTGGCTTCCAGAGATACAACCGTCGCCCGAAAGACACCCAAAGCTACTCCGGGATACTGGAGAGGGATCGGGACATCCCCAGGCAATCCAGATTCCACGGCAAACTACGCCACTGCCAAGAACCTCAACGGAATGGGATGGACCCCGGTGTCCTTTCCCTACCTAGGAACTAGTGTGCCTGTGGGAGAAATCCCAAAGGCCAAAAGAGGAAGGGCAAAAGGGAGGGGTGGGGAGGAGGAGGAGGAATGGAAAAAGGGGAGGATGGGGAGGATGGGATAGGGGGGGGGAGAATGGGGGGTAATTAGGTTCGGTCTGAGGAAGAAGACCGACAGGGCTAATTCCTCAGACCAAGAGCCTCTTCACCACGCCAAGGAGCCCCCCTTGAAGAGGCCCCTACCTAGGAACCAGTAGGCCTGTGGGAAGAATCAAGAAGGCCAAAAAGAGGAAGGGAATAAGGGAGGGACGAGGGGAGGAGGAGGAAAGGAAAAAGGGAGGATGGGGAGGATGGGATAGGGAAGAGGGGATTGGGGGGTAATTAGGTTCGGTCTGATGAAGGAGACCAGCAGGTCTAATTCCTCAGACCAAGAGCCTCTTCACCATGCCAAGGAGCTCCCCTTGAAGAGGAATTGACTAGTAATTTGTCTACTATTGAGACCAGGCTTCTTGGGAGGTAATTTAATTTTAATGATTTACTTCTGATTTGTAGATACCAATTACATGAATCATCTTCCATATCTCTGGCACTACACCTGGTTCATGTGATGAATTAAAAAGAAAGGTTAATTATTGGGTTACCAGGTTTCATTTTTTCCACTATGAGAAGCTTTGAAAAAAGTTCATCAGGACCTGGGGACTTATTTTGCTTCAGTCGATCAACCTGTTCAGTAAACCACATACCTAGCCTTTGGGATATTCCTAGTGACTGAGATATTCCTAGTGGCTGGGATATTCCTAGTGACTGGGATATTCCTATCAACTGGAATATTCATGGAGACTGGGATAGTCCTAGTGGACCGGGATAGTGCTAGTGACCGGGATATAAATTTGTTTTTGTTGTGGTCCACTATAATAATTGCTGGAATATCATTTGCACCAACATGGATTTATAAAAAAAATATAAAAAGTCTAATTTCAATAATGATTTTTTCTGTAAAATTTACCGAGGTTAACCTCAGTTTTTGCGATGTTCAGCCTAATTATTCAAATTCAATTTTTTATTTCTTTGCAAAGTTTACAATGTGTGACCGACATGTTATAAGGAGTCTATTTCCATGCATAATTTAAATGGTTAATTACAATATTGATTCGCAAGTGCAAAGAAAGCCACTATCATGCCGAAGCATTTCCGGCAGAATTAATTCTCCCCTTTAGCAATTATATAAAGAGGGCTTTTTCAAGGGGCTCAGTAGAGTAGATGTATGAGATGGACGAGTTTATCTGGAGAGAGCTCCGGGGGTCAACGCCCCCGCGGCCCGGTCTGTGACCAGGCCTCCTTAGGTCAGTGTCCCAGGAATGCGACCCCACACCAGTCGACTAACACCCAGGTACCCATTTTACTGATGGGGAACATAGACAACAGGTGGAAAGAAACACGTCCAATGTTTCTACTCTGGCTGGGAATCGAACCCAGGCCCTCGCCGTGTGAAGCGAGAGCGTTAACCACCAGGCCACCAGAGGTGGCCTGGTGGAGTGAACCATGTGGCATCCTAGTGTCTCTCCAAGAACTGATATTACAATTGGATTTTTTAAAGGAAAATAAAGTAATTTTGATTATACAGTATGAGCTTTAGAGAGAAATAATCTTAACGCGGATTAGCTTGAGGGTTAAGACCGTCAGTCACTTGGTGCTGTGTTTGTAACAACTAGTTAGTCAGAGGCCCAGAAGGCAAGAATCCGTTGACTAGGATGCATTCTTATTAGCACAGGCTTGATAATATAATCCCATAGGTAATAATACATGTAAACCATTTCATTTAAGTCAACAATAAAATTTTAGCCAGTGTGAGATACAACAGAATGATGATAATAAATGACCCTAAATACTAGGAAATGTTAAACACGTTCCACAGGGTAAACTAGGAAAAGCAGGTACGAATGGGTGATGTAGACCAACGAATAGTTTGATAAATGAGACACGGATAGTTGATATGACACGAATAATTGATGTCACTAATAGCTGATTAACAAACTTTCCATAAAAATGATTATATCTAAACTGAATTTCTGATTAATGCTGGATTCCTTTACAGATATTGAAGAGAAGAACAACATAAACGCGCCACCTGCTGGAGAAACTGGAGCAAGCGGCCATGTCAAACCACGCCCTGGAAGCAGAGAATAGACAGCTTAAGGAGGACATGGCTGAATTAAGAGAGGAAAACTCTCTGGTAAAGAGGAACAACACTTTTCTGAGGGAGGAAAACACGTCGGTGATGAAGGCAAACACTCAGGAAAAGAAGGACAACGCACTCCTGCGGGAGGAAAACACCCAACAGTGGGAGAAGAATCTTCGCTTGATGAAGGAAAACAATCGACTAATGGATGAAATTTCTCTCCTGAGGGAAGACAATACTCAAGTGAGAGAGGAGAGCACTCAAGTCATAAAGAACAACACTCTATTGATGGGGGAAAACGATCTGGTGAGAGAGAACAATACTCGCCTGGCGGAGGAAAACACTCAGGTAATTGAGACCAACGCTCGACTGACAGAAGAAAACAGTAAACTGAGGCAGGACAACACCCGCCTGACTGAGGAAAACACTCGCGTATTGGAAGAAAACATCAACTTGAAGGCAGCCATCGAACTGGTTGAGGGGGAAAATAGTAAGATGAACAGCAGCTTGCAAATAACAGAGGAGGAAAATAGACGATTGAGTTCGGCAACTCGGGAGGCGAAGGAGGAGTCAAGGTTGACGAAGGAGAGGAACCGAGACCTGGAACATGCAGTGACAGAAGCCAAAGAAGAGAGGAAGATGACAGCATCAAGAACCGTTGAACTAGAAAGGCAGAACCTCCTGTGTAAACAAGAAAAAAGCAGGACACAAGAATCAAACACGTTCATTGAAGAGCAACTCTCAAGAACAGAAGATGAAATCAACTTGTTGCGAGAAACAAACGCAGCTCTTCAAGAAGAGAAAGAAAGAAATGAGCAGCGAATAAGGAGTATTGAAGAAGAGAAGCAGCAAATTTTCACACAGAACAGTCTGATGGAACAGGAAAACCAGCAGCTGAAGAGTAATATTACCAACCTTTCCGTAAGGTAAACGGCGCCTTGACTCAAGTAAGACGATAGTCAGACACTTATGTACATCCCTAGTGATTTACTTGTAGTTCTGAGACAAATATACAAAACCTAAGAATAGTGGAACATTGCAGGGCCATCTAGTCCATGAAAATATACAGTTCAACAATATATTCAAGACTCTCGGAGCACTGAATGAGGAGCAATAATCCAGATTTGAGTCAAACCTGGCTAGAAGGAAGAAGACATGCGTTTAAATGCGCATTTTAAGAAAAGAACTCAGTGTGCTCCTCCACTAACGCCATTTACTCAAGGAAAATGAACCGAATAAAGGAATAAAAGTGAGATGTTACACACACACACACACACACACACACACACACACACACACTCACACACACACACACACACACACACACACACACACAATCGAGCACATTTCCTTAGACGCACATCAACCAGATAACTGCTGCAACATTAATAAGAAAACGTTTTGGGTCAAAGATTTTGATCGCTTCTAAAATAAAAGAGGTCATTGGCTACCGTATATATCCAAACGTCCTTTCCTCACAACCTCAGTAGTTTTCATGGTAAATATATCCTCATCTCTCTCAATTAAAGTCTTAAAGCGCTGACCTATTAATTCCGGGACCATGGTACTAGCCTCCCGTTCACCTTTCCGTTTATTCGTCCAACAGTCGTTCATTAAGACGGGTCAGAACCTGATCAAGCCTCAGGTATGCAAGTGTTTTTTATGCAACTTCCAGCTTTTGATCCTGATAGTGACGGCTTTCAGGTACTTTCCATGTCTCAGGTTGGGTTGAGTGATGAGTTTGGCACCTTCCCACTCATCAAATATTCCGTAGAGTTTCTATGAAATACAAAGACGTTGCTTAATTTGTGCTGTTGCAAGCGCCTCAGTATTCACTCAGGGAGCAGACTCCTTCCTGTCTTTCCTGAACACTCTGCAACCTGTCTCTCACGCCTCGCTTTATTCTTATATATACTGTTATTCATGACACATTTATAGGTTAGAAGTGATCAAGGTGTTAGGACTGAAACATTTTCCAGTGTTAGTTCGTATGCCTTGTTCGAAGCACCTGTCAGTTTCCATTACCAAGGTTTATCCCTAGTCCAGGGATCAGCAACCTTGTTCTGCCTAGGGGTCAGAGCCCACGTCTGCGAGCGGATGGCTTGCCACATCTATCGCAGTAGTTAATGAGGTAATAACTGATACTAAACTCTGACAAATATATAACATAATTTGAGCTATGGCCCCGTTGGCTGGATCCTGTAGGTTGCCGACCCCTGTATTAGTCCATACTAGGCAGGACTTCCCACGCTCAACCACACCTACTCATGTACCTGACCAGCCTATTTTTTTTTTTTTTTTTTTTTGGGGGGGGGCTGCCCAAGGATCTCTAGTGGCTCTAGATGCGAGTTAATTCCGCTCATCTACATTTCTACTGCCAAATCAACGTTTTCCAATATCTTCTCTGAATCTCAGTTTATCTAACTTTAATCCACTGCTGCAATTCCGGTATTGGTTAGGAATTTCAACACGCTATTCATATTCCCTTTATTTATTCAGGTTCTTTATTTATACACTTACAGTTTCCCTTATTCTACGCCTTTTCATAATGCTAATTCAGTCCCTCTGTTTTTTAATATATGTCTTTCCAGCGCATTTATATACATTCTATAATTTATAGATCAACAACCGAGCAGAATAATAAGAGATCTTACCAATGATAAACAAAGTTTAAGTATAACCCTTTATGTATACTTCTAGTATGTATACTTCTAATACAAAGCTAATTATTCTTGTTGCTTTTATTGCAAACATTATTCACTGTTGTCTTGGGTTCTAAATTTCTGCGGCCAGAACTCTTTTTCAAATGAATTTGGTCACCGCTTTACATTATTTAGTTTAGAAATACCATTAGTTTTATTTTCCAATATTATAACATCTGCCACTTCTCGAACACATCATCAACCTATTCAGAACTTCTTGTAATTTCTTAGTGTCCTCATCGGAATTTATTTGGACTGCCTTTTTCCTTGTTATTGCCAAATTTTAAACATTCCAACCGTCTCCCACCGAGGTGAGGTAACCCGACAAAGAAGCACTTGAAATGATCCTCCAAACCGCAGCATCTCAGCCTTTCCCTTTCAGAGTGCATTTTACTGTACTTCTCACTTCCAGGACTCGAGTCCGACTGTCTGTTTTCCCTGAATTTCCTCATAAATGTTTTCTTCGTCACGCTCAGAAACTTTCAAATGATAAAAGTCATTGTCACTACTCCTGTTCAACACGTTCACACAAGCCTCCTGGATATCGAGCCCCCAAACACTCAAACCTTTGCTCCCTTCCTCCAAACTTTCTAGAATGACCTCTACCTTGTCTTCCCTCCACCCCAGATGTCCAGAATACTTCAGCATCATCCCGTTCCATGAATACTACTTTTGGCAATACCAATATCACACTTTTTAATCTTCAAACTCATTCTCTGCATGATATGTACAACACACATTGCCCTCAGACATGGCTTATCCACTGCCTTCATCTGTCTATATTAAACAACTATGGTGATTTCACTCATCTCTCTCAAAGGCCTAATTTTACTTAAAAAAAATTCCCCCTGTCCTACATAACCTAACCAAGCACTTTACTGATTTAAGTAACCTAGCATTTCTTTCATAAATTTTTCAATATCTGCCACATTACTCCCCCATCCGCATTACACGTGTATTTTTGAAAAATTCATATATGCAGTAAAAAAATCCTTACCTTTATTGTTCACTTACTTGCTAAGTAAACACTTGGTTTTTCATCCTTTTTCCCTTCATGAAATTCATTACTCTGATTCCTACTCTTAGCCTTAACTCTTTCAATAACTACAATACACTTTACGCAACATACTCAAAAAGTATATACCCTTTATAATATTCTTATACTCTTTATCCTCTTTCTCCTTATACAAAGGAATTTTGGGGGAGAGTGGTTGGATCTGAGAGGGACTTGAATAGTACTGGCAAGTAGGGCTGCCTCAGTGTTCCTCTATTTTTATGCTCTTAGTTTATAGATCAATCCCTTTGTTTTTTACATGTAGCGATTCTGTGACCTATTTTGTTTTCTGAACGCTTTCCTAAAATACCTTCACAATTCTCTCTTTTGTGTAAGACATCATAACTTTCTCGTCCCTCTTCTTATTCTCAGGGTGGTGACGCCAGAGACTGTGCGGAACTATACTGCCGGGAGCACGAACGGACGGTGTGTACCTAATCAAACCAGCCAGGTAATGTCAGGTCAATCGGGTTTTGTATGGCTAAGCCGGGTCATACTGTGCGGTCTATGTAATGAGTTTTATCTAGGTTACACCCGTCGGGTCAACCGGTGTTGTACAAATTATGGAAACAAACCGTACCGACAAGTGGCGGTTTGATGAGTGAAACATGTGCCTACACAGTAGACTTTTCAGTCGAATACAGAGGCGGCGGCAGAAGCAGTAAGACTCGTTTTGAGGGGTCAGTCCCCAGCCGAAAGAGTTCTGTTTCACGTCTGAAAGACTGTCACAAGTATGAAGCCGAACTGTTCCCAGCTGGGGCTGACCACCTCAAAAACTGCTTTAAGGCTCAGGGGACTGTAACATCATAACCTCCCAAATGTTTCTGCTGTCTCCATATTTATTCTTTCTCTTAGACTAAAAGAAAGGGGGAACTTTTCCCAAAAAAAATTTCCCCAATACTAACATTCTCTCACCAATCCCCCTAAAGTCAACAGTTAGGGGGGATATACCAACCCAGTCATCCCCTTTTCAGGAAAAAAATAATCGTCTACCTACATTTCTAAATGATCTCATACCCAACAATCTAGTCAACATGGACAATTCTGATTTATTATCAAAATTAACTCCCCTTTTTTAACAAATTTAAAATTAACCTCCTGCATTTTTAACCGCTTTAAATGGTAAAACTGAGCATCCATATTAATTTTCAACCTTTTCCTTCCCTTAAAAGGACCTTGTCCTCCCACCCCAAATCACCTTTTTTAAAAAATTTTTAAATTTGAGGGGGTTCTTAATTTTTTAAAATTTTTTAAAAAATTTTTTAAGTTCCTGGCCCCCTTTTAAAGGTTAGTGCATTCGTGGGTGTTTAAAAATTCGATTGTAAATACGCATCTACGTTTTTAAAATGGTTTACAATTATTTAGTTAACAAGGGAGCTTTTTCATCAGGGTATTTTCATGTCTACTTTACAAAACTTTATGCCTTGGAAAATCTGTCCGGAAGATGATTATGCTGAAACTTTTTAAAGATTGTTTTAAGTCAAGTTGGTGGGACCTCCAATTCTTAACTTGCTGCTAATGCATTAGCCAAGATGACTATCTTCAAAAAGCTTTGTTTAAGTCATAAAACATAATATTACCCCAACTTGGCCAAAAGGCACTTATTTAATTCGTCAAACACTTCAAGATGAGGCAATGTGTCTCATATTAATGATGCCTGCACTAACAAGTCGCAGAAAGTGACTCCATCAGTCGTTTGAAATGGCCAGAAATTAAAGCAAATATTCATACATATGGCGTCCAGGCATACGAGCGATTTCTTGATTCAAGTTACTGGCATTTTTCCTCGTAATTAGGAAACAGATGATACATCATTCACCAGTTCGTGAACTAAATGACCCACATAGGTTTATCGTCTTAAATAAGTGTAGTAATAATAATAATATTAATAATAATAATTATAAATGTCATTTTGTGTGGGTGTAACAGTGTTGTTATCTACAGAAACGGTGGTCAGGTGTCTGTCTGGTGTGACATGACGGCTGATGGAGGTAAGTTATTCCCTAATTGTTTCGATCTGCTCTTTTGTTTTTCTTCAGTTGAATTTGCAGGTTAAGAACTTTTTTTTTTATATTTTATTTAAAACAATACAATACATTAAATAAATAAAAGAACATAGTATCAGTTCTTACCCAGAATTATAAATTACATTGTCAAAATACACATACATTTCGGAGCTTGTTTCTTGGGTGGCTCGGAGCTTATTTCTTGGGTGGCATTGAAAATTGGGTTGGGCAAATGTTTTGTTAGTGGGATGAATTGTAAAGGACTTGCCTAGTATGGGCCAACAGGCCTCCTGCAGTGTTCCTCCTTTCTTATGTTATGTTCTTATGTTCTTATAAACATTTAACTTTGTGCTGACACAAACTGTCCCTCATCCCCTATACATTTTTTTTTTTTTTTTTTTTTTTTTTTTTATATTTATTTAAAATACAGTATATAATTATACGTTAAGCAAACATGTTACGAAATCAATCAAAATGTAACAAAAATTTAAAAGTACAACATACGTTACCAATCAAAAAGAAACTTCGGCACAGGCGTACCAACAACATTATCCAGAGAATCTACTCAGCACACTTAAACACTTATGCAAGTTTTTATTAAAAACAATTCTTAAAGGAAAAACCTCACCACATACCTTTAAAACCTATACATCCACCCCCCACCAAAGTAACATTTATAAAGTGTACATTTGTGCTCTGGAAGTAAAAGGGTTACCCCCCCCCCCCTCAAATATCTACAACATTAAATTTACTATAAGACGTAGAACTACTTACTCTAAAGTAACAATTATGAAAACTTTTGCCTACATAAGGTAATATTCTCTATATCTCAACACGGGTGCAATCCACCCAAGACTTCTTCATACACTATATACCCTATACATTTAATACATAATATACACCGCTACTTAAAATCATATGCACACCTGATTTCCAACAAAGTCAATTAAAATTGTTGTATTTACACAAAATAAATATACATTTTATATTACCTTACAATACCTATATGTGCTTTAAACAATAAAATCAAAGGGAAAAAAACAACAGCGTGTACTTAAATATTTAACACCCCCTACACATACAGTGTCACAACGAAAATGTACTATATAATCTAACAGCCGCTGAACATTATATGTTGGGGCTTATGTACCAAAATACAACTTCGCATATATAAAACTGTCCCAACGTTACTCATTACAGCTATGTAAACTTAGAACCTTCTGATATACAGAAATTGTTTTTACAGAATGCATCCAACAAGAAGGAAACCCCGGACTTTGTATCACAGCATATTCGATACAGCCATAGGCATACCTTAGTAACACCTTTAGTATGTGCTTTCTTACATCTTTGAAGACACTCTCACAATAACGAACATTTTCATTCTCACACACATAAAAACTTAGATTCTACCTTTTCTTCACCTTGTATACACACAATGATGTAGTGCTCAATACATTACGTACATGTACTATCCAAAATCTTCACAAAACATAAAGGAACACATGTGAAAAAACAACCACCCACCCCAACACTCATCTCAGGATAAGATAAAGTACAGTGAAATCCAGTCACTACTTTAAAAGCCATCCACAAAAATCTCCGCTCAAAAAAACTAGCCCTTCGCTACCCATTTACACTTAAACCCCGGGTAAATTTCCTTTACAAAAAACCCCGGGTATCCCTCAGTAAAACGCTGTCTCCCACCTTTCCCCCAAATAAAGATCCCTATTGCGACACCTTAGTTCTATAAATGGTGGCCGCTAACACCTTTATCTTTCATCCACACCCAAACCTCCCTCACACCCACCTCCCACCACCACCTCCCTCACACCACTCCCTAAACACCCACCTCCCTCAAAACCCACCCTCCCCACACCCACCTCCCTCACACCCACCTCCCTCACACCCACCTCCTAAACACCCACCTCCCTCACCCCACCCTCCCTCACACCCAAACCTCCCTCACACCCACCTCCTCAAACCCACCTCCCTCACCCCACTCCCTCACACCCACCTCCCTCACACCCACCTCCCTCACACCCACCTCCCTCACACCCACCTCCCTAAACACCCACCTCCCTCACACCCACCTCCCTCACCCCCACCTCCCTCATAGCCAAGACGTATAAATAAAATCAGTAACAAACATACCAACCCATTCACCACCATCTGACTCATCCCACCTATATCTAAACTTAACACCCTTAACACCTGTAACCCTTCCCCACCCACAAACCCTAACTACCCTACCTAACCATACCCTCACAGCTTCTAGACAATTAAAAAAAATACACCGCATAAAAATATTCTCGGAAAAATCACACGCTTTGCACTCCCCACCCTCCCTTAGTCTCCTATTAAATAACACAACACCAGACGGCAAGATTCCATGTAGAAACCTAAACATTCCCCCCCCTTTAAAACACCGGGTTTTAAAATACGCAATTGCCGTAAACATTTCCAGATATTCCCCACGCATACATGGGGTATGCCCCCTCAACGCCGCCCCCCACAGACCCACCCCCCACCCTCTCTAGAATCCTCAATTTAAGGCGCTTCGGATCCCTCACCGTCATTAAAACCCTCAACATGGCCTCACCAATCATTAAATCCTTACCCCCACCATCGTTGCATATCCATACGCAGTTTTTTAGCCCCCCTTTCCTCGCCCCCCACCTCCCCAAATACCCGCGTTTTAGATACACACTCATCATACGCTTTTCTAAATGTATAAGCCCCACCCCCCCGTGGCTAACGGGAAGCGTCACCACCCCCTACTTAGCCAGTCACAACCCGATCCCATAAAATCGGAAAATCCCATGTTGCAACCTTTGGGCACCTCTCGCCGCCTCAGTGGGTATATTTCCCCACCACGTGCCATATCTTACTATACAACAGCACGTTCGTCACAATGACCCTCTGATGCAACGTTAGCTGCGCCGTCCTAAAACCCACCCAATCTTTTCAATACCCCATCCACGGTGGCACAACGAATTTACTCTTGTGCGACCCTATCATTCTTAGCGTACACTATCCCAAAAAATCAATAGCTGATCCACCACACTCCACCCGCGCCCTACATCCACCTCTATTTACGTTATGCCTAGGTCCATATACTTAGACTTTGCCACATTAATGTCCATCCCAGTTCCCTCTCCAAACACATCTACCACCTTTCCTACCTTGTGAAAATCCTTCTCATCCCTCACCAAACAGTTGTATCATCCACATAACCCACAATACCCGGCCAACCCTCTCGTTCATTACTAACCCCTCCACTTGCGATACTCCACCTAACTGCCCTATAAAAGGGATCCTGGAGGCACCAAACAATATTTGCGATAGAGGGCAACCCTGTCGCAAACCCCTTCCCATCAGAATGTTAACACCTAGCCTTCCATTAACCTGTACACTCATAGATGCTCCCTGAACAATGTTTTCGCCCAAGATATAATTTCCTTCCCGAATCCCTGCCAACGCATGAACCTCCATAACGCACCCTCTCCACACTATCGTAAAGCAGCTCGCCAATCCAATTTCCAACACACACCCCACCCCCAACCTCCCCCCTCTTTTTTATAAAACTTCTAAGAACTCCATGCCCTTTATACATTGTCCTACCCGGGACCCCATATTGTCCCCCTGTCAATTACGTTACCTATCACCTTTTTTATTCTATTCCCTAATATTCGTGCAAATAACTTTTTAATCGCCACACATAAGCGATATTGCTCGGTAATCCTCTACCGTAGTCCCGTCCACCTTCGGAACTAATACCACGACAGCAGTCCTTTGCTGCTCCCCCATTTCCCCATCATCCTTCATTACATTGAATAACCTAACTAAAAATCCTCTCAATACTTCCCAATTCCTAACATAAAAATTCTCACTTTCTGTGATCGGACCTTCTAATGTTACCCTATCCATACCATCAATCTCACATTGCACGAAACCTCCCATTTCCTTTAAAGCCTCATCTCGAATACCTCCGTTTTGTGCATATGACCTAAACCATGCATCTAGATAACCACCATACCCTCTGTCGTCACTAATACCTGCCCCTCCTATACCCTCCCATCCCCACATGAACAGTTAATCCATCATCTCCCTCGCCACTCTTCTCTTACGCTGTTCCTCAACACCATGCCGAAGGCCTGTCACCCCCCTAACACCTCTTTCCCGCCCACCCAAACTCGCGCGCCATCAAATCTTTCATTTTGCAAATCCCCGATATGCTCCTTTAATCCCTCAATGTCGTCCACCGGATGACTAGCACTCCCACGCTCGTAGCAAGCTCTCCCAAATGTCCCTCAAGATAAGATTGGACCCATACTTCAAAACCCGTTATATTCCCTCCCACTACGAATATAAAATTTCCCTTTAAAACGAGATTTCGCCACAGAGTCCCACCAACCCAAAACCCAAATTCCACTATTCCAGGGGCCTCCGCCACCAACTCCTCCCACAATTGAACAAATGACTGTCGATACTCTTCTTGCTGCAACAACTTTACATTCAACTTCCAAAACCCCTTACACCTTCTTGGCAACCCCTCCCAACCTATATCCACCAAAACACCCCTGTGATCAAAAATACTACGTCCATTACCCTCACACCCATGTATTACAAACTGTCCTGGGAACGTATAATCGATCGAGCCTAGCCGCATACCCACGCTTAATAAATGTGTGCTCCACCTCACCTCCCTCAACATCTGTCAATCCTATCCCGGATAACAATTCTCCCAATATCCTCAAAAAAATGCCCTGCCCACCTCGGTTCAACAGCCTTATTCCTTATCACACAGTTCCAGTCACCTCCTATCACAGCAACCCCCGCAATCCACGCAAATAATATACCAGAACGTCCCTTACGAATTTATTCTTTATCCTCACATCTCCCTCTCCGGGGCCATACAACACACCAACGTCATCTGTACCTGACCCCCTAACCCTCCACACGAATCACCCTCCCCTCTCCCC